CTATATGGGATATATGGCTATATGGCTATATAGGCTATAGGACTATAGGGCTATAGAGCGACAGGGATATAGGGCTATAAGGCTATAGGGCTACAGGGCACCGGGCACCCGGGCACCCAGCACCCGGCACCCGTGCACCCACCCGGGCACGGGGCACCCGTCACCCGGGCACCCGGGCACCCGGGCATCCGGGCACCCGGGCCCGGCCACCGAATCGGCGGCGAACCCGGGCACCCGGGCACCCGGGCACCCGGGCCCGGCCACCGAATCGGCGGCGAACCCGGGCACCCGGGCCTGGCCACCGAATCGGCGGCACACCTCACCTACCCTTAAATCCGCTAGGACCCCCACGGAGGCATGCTCTGAGTAGGGAATCATATGCTAGGCGTCTGGGGGGGGGCTCACCAGGCCCCAGCCTCCATGTCTGCCCACTGCTCTGCATTCTCCGTGTCTGTACTGGAATATTTCATGGCATACAGCCGCAGTGCACAAAAATAAAAAATAGATCAGCATCACCTCATAGTAAAGATACCATGCCAGTCAGTATCTCCACTATATTCATCAAAGTATCGCTTCGCACAGATATTTGCACAAAAAACCACAAGAATGCTCTCTTCGCAGAAGTCTGATCACATATAAAACATACAAGCTCCTTGCCAACGACATCAGGTCGGAATGGATGCAGGACGTGACAACGATTCCCTGGCGTCTTTGTTCGTTCATTGTGAGCTTCAACTTGAGGGTTCCACTTAGTCAGGCGTCTTCGTGGGCAAAACACTCTAGCCTCAACACCAGATAGGTATCTGGACAATCTCAATGTCATACCTTTTCCTCCACATTTGGTGCACTCGAATCGTACTTCTCCGTTCCTTGAGGGGCCAAGGGTTGGGCACAGCTCATGATATCCCTGAACTCGGGCTTCACGATTGTGGAGAAGACGCGAGTCGGGCGGGGGAACTTGGAAATGCCTGACGGGTTATGAGGAATCTGCTTCTCCTCCTTTCTCCTCCGTCATCCTCCTCATCACCACTAACATTCACTGGGTGGTGCGATTCGGTCACAGCTACACTGAAGTAGTGACCGACAAACGGCTTGATCTTGGAAGGAACAGGTACGAATGACGCGGATTGAACCCAAACATACGGCCCCTCAGGAAGGCATGGTTCACAAAGCGTCCCCTCATCAATTTCGGCACGGCCCTCACACGGACCGTGCCCCCCATGCGCTGCAGTTTCGGATCCACGGACAAGGCTTGCATGGCGTCCCTCCCCCCATCTCGGCTCACCCTTCACACGGCTCGTGCCCCAGAGGGATGTAATTCCACGTGCGGCCCTGGTGAAAGGAGCCACATACCGTCACGTCCCCCTATGTACGTTGACTGTCTCCTCACACGGAACGTAACCCACACGGAGCTATAACGACAGCACCGTAGCCAAGGTTCGCATCCCGCCGCCGCGCCCATGCCCCGTGCAAGATGTAAACGCAAGACGTCTCATACGCTTCTAAGGACCTACTTGGAGGCCTCCTGGGAGCCTCCCGGAAGTATTCAGTTGGGGGGCCTCTTGGGGCCTCTTGGGGGTTTCTTGGGGATTCCCGGGCTCGTTTCTGGGGTCTCTCAGGACCTTCTTGGGGCCACTGAGAAGCGTCCTGGAGGCTTCTCGGAAGGTGCTGGGGGCATGTTTGGAGCCGCACCCCCCAAGATGGTGGCCCACGACCCGGCTTGGCACCCTCTTGAAGCCCTTTGTGGGGCTCCCTTGGAGCGTCTTGGGGCCCTCTTGGGCCGTATGTGGAGCCACGTAAGCGGTCTTGGAGCCTCATTGACCGCCTCTCGGACCGTCTTAAAGACAGTCAAGAGTGGGAAGGGGGAGATGTCTTCTCCAGAAGGAACGGGGTGATTGTTGCCTCCTGGGGCCTTGAGGGGGTGCTCCTTTTTTTTGCGGCATCGCGCTTCCAGATCTATATTGGCGTCGGGCGGTGAGGTGTCTTGGAAGGCTCTGCGCCTGCGTCGGCTGCCACTGCTCGTCCTTTGTTGCACCCAGTGATCACAACGCTAAAGTTCTGATAACGTCCGAATTCCAACATCGCCTCCCATATCTCGCTCGACAGCGCCAGAGCCCGCGGCCACTGACCACCTTTCACTCAAGCGCTATTCCTCAGCGGTGTGGCTGACTAGCCTGTCGCATCGCTTCTGCGAAGCAGAGCGACGATCGCAGGGCTGTAGCTGGCTGCGTTGGGCTCCAGCTTCGCCTCCCGCATCTCGCTCAGCAGCGCAAGCGCCCGCTGCCACTGCTCGCCCTTCTCGCACGCGCTGATCCCAGCGCTGCAGCTGATGACGTCGGGCTCGAGCTCCGCGTCCGACATCTCGCTCAGCAGCGCAAGCGCCAGCTGCCACTGGCTTCGGGCTCTTTGTTGCTCCCACATCTCGCTGAGCAACATGCATGACCCGCTGCCACTGCTTGCTAGTCTCGCCCGCGTTGGGCTCCGATTTCGGCTCCCGCAT